AGGGTTTAGGGTTTAGACTCCTTATAACGGGGGTTGAATAGGTATTATATAGGGGAGCATTCTAGGGATCGTTAAGGGGGGTATTAGACTTGGCTCAGATAGACCAGCAACCCTGAAGCCCCATTACAGGAGATGAGATCGCTCCAAGCCGATCTGTTTGCCATCATCAAGAGCGCCTTGCTTCGGGGAATCCAGGGTAAAGGATTCTGGGGGTTTCCCTAAACGCTAAACCCCGAGGGTCCAAGTACCCAATACTTGGGTACTTGGGTTTAGGGTCATTGTAATTATACTACAGGTTTTGGGCAAGTATATGATTACTAGGTTCTTGGACCCTTAGGGAAAGCCCTAAACCCTGAGTCCTAAACCTGGGCTTAGAATCTGGGGCTTACCGTGCCTTCCCCCAGACCGACGTGGAAGCCGAAAAAAGCCCTATGAAGACTACAGCTCTTTGTACAGGAGGGCTGGTTGGGTTCCATGTTAGTTTGAGGGAGTGGGTCCAGGGCTGATGGTTGAAAGCTTAAACCCTAAACCTAATCCCTAAGCCCCTGAACCCTAAACCTTAAGGGACCACAAGCTTGGTCCGATTTGCTGTACGCCTTTGATTTGCGTGGAAGGCCTCCTGCACGAGCAAACGCTGTAAGTAAGAAACCCGGTATGACTTCCCCTAGGGCTCCCAGTTACCGACATAGTAGGCTACTGGGCTATGTAACTATAGGGTATATAGAACCCAGTTCCTGTTATTTCGGTAACTGGAGCCCTAGGGCTCAGAATGTCAGAATGACGTATTTCCCAAGGTAAAGTATACCCACAACCCTCAACGCTGATTCCCAAGGTAAAAATTTTGTAAGGGCCATGCCCCTAAACCCTAAACCCTAAACCCTAAAAAATGGATCCCAAGGCCCAACCCCCAGAGACGATTTTCTTTGAGAACCCGCTTTCCCAGAGGGTCCATTTATACAACCATTAAGGAATTAGGCCCCAAAATACCATACTATAGAAGGAATTCTGGGTCCCAATTCCCTAATGGTTGTATATGTGGACCCTCTGGGTTTAGTTCGAAGAGTGGAGGGTCCAAGTACTATAGTATATTGGGGTTATATGGGGATAATGGAAAAGAAAATGGGAACTACTATAGTATATGGTTTTGAGCGCGAAAAGCCACAGTCTGAATGGCTTTAGGTACCTAAAGCTCCTATCGTTTGGACGCCTAGGGCTCCTGTTATTTGGGCACCCTAAACCCTAAACCCTAAACCCTAAACGGACTTGACGCGCATCGCCCCTGACAACTTCAAGTTGAGATTTCCTGACATTGGGCACCACACGGTTAAGGGTTTAGGGTTTAGGGTTTAGGGGACTTTGAAAGCAAGCAGCTTACCTTCTTCGACCTTGGCATCAAGAATTTCATGCGCCTGCATGTGAGCAGGGTTTTGACCATATAGTCTCAACGAGCTTTTGCCGGGATGTTTGACAGTGGCTCTCAGAATCAAGAACATCAGACAGTCGTCACGAACATACTGTCAACCCACTCGGGTGATTGACACCACTGGCAATGCTCTGATGTACCAAGCACAGGGCTCTAAGTCCAGGTACGGTGAATAAGCCCGGGGAAGTATGGCATTAAAGAATACTTTGGGTTACCCAGTAATAGTGGTACTAGAGGAATATATAGGGACCTTGACATAGTCACCATTATCCCTTGGTGGTCACTATTAGTAGGTGGGGGTCCAACCTATAGCATACTAAGGTCATGCAGGATTTTCAGTATCAACAGTATAGGGCCCCAAAACCCTAAACCTTAGCCCCAAAACCTGAAACCCCAGGCTCCCCCCCCGGGTCGCAACTTGCGACCCTGTTTAGGGTTTGGGTTTAGGTGTTTGAGGTTTGAGGCTTGAAGGTCGTAGGCTTCAAGGGCTTAGGGCTTAGGGGTTTAGGGATGAGAGATTCATGGTTTCAGGTCTAGCCCAAGACTAGAACTGTAGTATATACAAAACATTCCCCAAAAAGTTCAGGGACAAGGGTTTCCCCTTCGACTCCCTACAAAGACCCTGTAGGCGCCAGCAAATTCAGACTTTAGTCGGTAGCTCCCCCACCTGCCCTGAAGTACCGGTAAGTTAGGGTTTAGGGTTTAGGGTTTAGGGTTTAGGTTAGGTGTAGTTCGCCTGATATTTACTCTCCTGAAATGGTACCTGGTGCTCATATTCGCTCCCTTTGACACACCCTCGACCCTAAATCCAAAATCCTAAGCTCGTAATCTTACGCACTGGAACGCCAAGACGATGAGGGAATTCGCCAGGACAACCTCCGAAGCAGTGGCCCATGGATCCCCAACCCAAAGCCCATCCAAGGGTTTAGGGTCTAGGGTCGTTTAGGATTTAGGGCTTTGGCCTCCCTCACCACAAAAGCCAGACCGCAAATGAGATCCGCCCAATTGAGCACCCCAACATGGAAGCACCATGTATTCAACGAGTCGAAAAAGGAGGCCTGTTCTGGAGCTGTCTATTTGGTGGATGTGTTCATATGCCCAAAGCACCCCGCCCCTGACCCTGAAACTTATTCTAAAAAGCTAAGTCCTTAACCTGCCTTAAGCCCCGAACCTTTGATCCCCAAACCTCAACCTGAATCCCTAAACCCTGACGGTTTAGTTTACCCTAAACCCTAAACCAAAAACCCTAAACCTGAATCCCTAAACCCTAAACCATTGCGTAATCTGGGAAGGTGCCATCCAGCAGATGAAAGAGGGACTGGTGGTACCTTTGGAGAGTTGGTTGCAAGCTGAGAGCAGCTTGCCCGATCAATTGAGCTAGTATCTCATTCGGGGATACTAGGGTACCCAATATAGAGTAAGATTATAGTTCCTCTGAAGTAGATAGAATATGAGTTCGGGTATATTATAATAAGATCCCCATATACCCCATATTCTATCTACTTGAGGGGGACTATACATCCTTCTTTTGGGTATCTTGTTTTAGAAGAGCAACATGGCATGGTGCCAGTCGTTGCTTCTCCGAGTCCTGGCCCAGCTTTACGTGGCTTAGGGTTTAGGGTATAGGGGCAGCAGCTTCCCTACTACACGGAGGTCCGGCAGGTCTTATACTGCTGGGGCAATTGGCTGACAGAAGAAGTAACCCTATGGTAATTTCCCAAAATAAGGGGACCCCCATATAGACCCCAATTTACTGTAATCTTAGTTAAATAAGGACCCCCAAAAAGGTACCCCTGATTTTGGGAAGCCCCATATTTCAATGCACCATGGCCAGCTCAGCAGGCTTTGCTCACAAAGGAAGGAGCGGAAGCAGCCTATGGGCACCGCCTGGTGAGTCGACTGAGCCTTCTGCAAAAGGGAGTTTAGGGCTTAGGGCTTAGGGTTTAGGGCTTAGGGTTTAGGAAGTGAAGGGGACGAGAACCTGCAGCGAGCAAAACAAAAATCTGGACTAAGACTTATATAACTACTGACCTTGCTTCGTTTAGCTTGCTTCACTTGGGCAGGTCTCACATGCTGTGACCTACATAGACGAGAAATATAAACTTACTATGTTCAACCATCAAGAAAAACACTACTCAATTAGGGTTTGGGGTGAACCCTCAGGGCTCTGGGTTTGGGGTTAGCAGGGGTAGGTTTGAAAAAATATCCCCCAAACCTACTCGAGTCAAGGGACCTGCTGAATCGTAATACGGTGGATGGATGAAATCCTGCGCCATTTGGGATCTCCAGAATACCGTCACCCCCAGGGTTTAGGGTTTAGGGCAGTGTATAAGGTAGATCAGGTGGTGCAGGATTTCCTCCATCAACAGTAGGGGCTTATCTCTAGAGTTACATAATGCGGATACAACAGGTTTAAGAAATAAGGGTTTAGGGTTTACAGCGCAGGGTTCCTGTAGTCTAGGGCGAATTACAAAGGGCTGATTACAAAGACCTCATGCAACCCCGCCCCAAATCGTGTTTTGTATAGACAGTTGACACAAAGCTGCTTAACTTGAGGTTCTGCATGTATTTTGCAAAAATGGCTCGTAGATGCTTGCGTCATCTGATCTTAACCCTCAGCATCACCCCTTCCCAATCCTAAATGAGCTATAGTCTAAATTCCTGAAAGGTGGTTATATAGGGGATTATAGAGGGGCTGTTAAGGGGAATGCTAGGAGCTTAGAATACGGCTCAAGCCAGGCCCACATGAGTTCTACGTAAGAGTTATTTAGGCTTCTTTAGGATTTAGGGCGGGGTTCAGAACAAGGGTAGTGCAGGGTTCAGAATAAGGGTAGTGCAGGATCCATCGATTACGGGAATACTGCTGGTACAAAAACCCCTGCATACTGATGGTACACCAAGCCTTGCAAAGTTTTATATACCCACACCCCAAACCCTAAACCCTGAACCCTAAACCCTAACCCCTAACGGATGTAGTGGTAAAGCATACTTCGGGCGACGCAGCAGTTTAGCTCCCAAAGTACAAGTTCTGAGTACAAGTGCCTCGGTCAGAACTGTGGGCAGGGGCTTGGACTAGCCCCTAAACCCTAAACCTTAAACCCTAAACCCTAAACCCTGAATCCTAAACCCTAAACCCTAAACCCTGAATCCTAAACCCAAAAGCCCTAAACCCGGAATCCTAAACCCTTAACTCATGGCATAGGCCGCCCACCTTCGATGGTGAGGCGGCGCTTATGGTAGCACCCACGAGAAGCGCGGCCGCTGGTTGGTTTTTGCAGGGTAGATCCTGGACCCCCAGGGCCTCCTCTGCAAGCGAATTTCAAGACCTGAGAGCCAGAAGGGGGGGGCGTGGCTCCAATTTTCCAGGGGCCTCCCAGGCCTCCGAAGCTGTTCGGGGCTTCCCAGGCCCTTGCCAGGGGCCTTCGAGGGGCCTAGGGGCTTGCAAGACCTCCCAGCCCACCAGGCTAGGACCCTGCCACACCCCACCCACTTCTCATCACCACCAGAAGGTAGACCTCCTCCAGATCTCTTCAGCCTCTCAGAACCTTCAGCGTTCACAAATGAAAGGTGTTGTTGCTGACCAAGATGGACCTAACTGAGTTTAGATCCTAAGCCCTAAAAGGTATACGTTTGGGTGGTTTGCCGC